CATGCCTGTGCAACCTCTCTTCGGGAGGCCGCGCGGGCCCGCACATGCACGCACATGCGGTGAAGCGCGCGGGCGCACATGCGTGCACATCCCAATGCACATGCACGCTCATGCCCGAGGAGCTGTCTGAGACCCCTGTGCCTCCAACGCCTCCTGGCCTTCGCAGAGCTAACCTGGGGCGTGCCAGGGCTTCCTGAAAGAGTTTGTTGTGCGTTTAGACCCGCCCGCTGCTGGCGGGGGCGGTTCTTCGCCCGGTTCGTGAGCTGGCGGTGGCGTGCCCTCCTAGTGAAACACTCTCCCGCGCGCCTTCTCAGCTCGGCCGGAGAAGCAGGGGTGGGGGGGGGGTGGAGGGCGGGGGGGGAGGAGGGGGGAGCGGAGGAGGCGGACGCCCCCGGCTCGGCCGGCCCGCCCGCCTGTTCGGCTCGGCCAGAAGAAAAGGAGGAGGAGGAGGAGGAGGAGGAGGAGGAAGAGGAGGAGGAGGAGGAGGAGGAGGAGGAGGACGAGGAGGAGGAGGAGGAGGAGGAGGAGGAGGAGGGCGAGGGTGGCTTGACGGCCCGAGCTCAGGGAATCTCGGAATCGCTGGCCTGGCTCGGCCACTGGCGAGCTCGGCCTGTGCGAATACTGTGCGTACCTGTGCGGGGCATGTGCGGGACGTGCAAGAATGCCGGGGCCGGCGTTCGTCTCCGGGCGCCGGCGCGTTCGCGTCCGCGCGCAAACCGCGCGCGGACGCAGCGAGAGATCTCCTGCCCCATGCTGGTCAGGCCACTGTCGCCTGAGAGATCCTCGCAAGTCTCGATTCCGATATGCCCCGAGCTGCGGTGGTCAGCCACTGTCGCCTGAGACATCCTCGCAACCCTGATCTCAATGATGCCCTGCTCGATAGTGTCTCGGCCCCTTTCGCCTGAGACATCCTCAGAACTCTGGGTTCCGAGACGCCCTGAGCTGAGCTGAGGTGGTTAGACCACTTTCGCTTTAGACATCCTCGCCCGAGATGCCCTGAGTTGAGGTGTTCAGGCCACTTTCGCCTGAGACATCCTCGCAACTCTGACCTCCATGATGCCCTGCTCCATAGTGTCTCGGCCTTTTTCGCCTGAGACCCTCGCAAGTCTGGGTTCCGAGATGCACTGAGCAGGTGGTCAGGCCACTCCTGCCTGAGACATCCTCGCAACTCTGGGTTCCGAGACGCCCTGGGCTGAGGTGGTCAGACCACTCTCGCCAGAGACATCCTCGCAATTCTGATCTCAGAGATCTCTTGCCCCATGGTGGTCAGGCCATTTTCGCCTGAGACATCCTCACAACTCAGACCTCGGAGGCGTCCTGCCCCATGGTAGTCTGGTCACCTTGACCAGCGACATCCTCGCCACTCTGGTTTCCAAGATGCCCTGCCCCATGGTGGTCCGGCCACGCTTGCCTGAGACATCCTCGCATTTCTGGGTTGCGAAATGCCCCGAGCTCAGGTGGTCAGGCCACTATCGCCTGCGACATCTCTGCGGCATGTGCGGGCATGTGCGTCTATGCTTTCAGAGTTTTGCTTGACCGTGCATTCGACTGTGCGTCGGACGGTGTGGCATGTGCGCGCATGTGCGGCAATGCTGTTGAGGCTTTTGTATATTTGCATGGGCATGTGCATGCGACTGTGCGGCATGTGCCTGCATGTGCGGCCCCTTCCGGACCACAATTTCAAAGTGAGCACTATAGAGGTGAGCGCTATAGAAGTGAGTCCGGTGTACCACAACCACTACTGTTAAGACTACTACGGCTACGACTACTACTTCTACTAGCGCTAGTGTTACGATTGCTGCTGCTACTACTACTACCGCACTACTACTGCTGCGCTTAATATTACGATTGCTGCTGTTACTGCTAACATTGCTGCTGCCACTACTACTACTACGACTACTACTACTACTACTACTACTACTACTACTACTACTATCACTACTACTACTACTACTACGACTACGACTACAACGACTACTACTACTACTACTACTACTACTACTACTACGACTACTAGTACTACTACTACTACTACTACTACTACTACTACTACTACTACGACGACTACTACTACTACTACTACTAGTACTACTACTACCACCACTACTACTACTACTACTACTACTACTACTACTACTACTACTACTACTACTACTACTACTACTACGACTACTACTACTACTACTACTACGACTACCACAACTACTACCACTACTACTACGACTACCACTAATACTACAACTACTACTACGACTAAAAATTAACCTGTGACGTACCCAACCCATTTGTATCAATGGAAACAAGGAGTTGGCCGAAACTAGTATGGACAATCAACTTGATGTGTAAGCTACTTGGGAGGCGTCACTGTGCTGGGCCCCGCAAGCAGGCCTCGAAAGTGGCGACAGTTTCACAGATCGCACCCCCCCATGGATGGCGAGGTCTAATTTGAATCTGCGTGTGGCGTCACTGTGCTGGGCCCCCCAGCAGGCCGCGAAAGTGGCGACAGTTTCACAGATCGCAGCCCCCCCAGGGATGGCGAGGTCTAACTTGAATCCGCCGTGGGTACCCACTGTGCTGGGCCCCCCAGCAGGCCTCGAAAGCGGCGACAGTTTCGCAGATCGCAGCCCCCCAGGGATGGCGAGGTCACATTTGACTCCGCCGTAGGTGCAGACTGTGCTGCCCCCCCCAGCAGGCCTCGAAAGTGGCAACAGTTTCACAGATCGCAGCCCCCCAGGGATGGCGAGGTCCCATTT